TAGGACTTCAGTGCATTCATTGGAACAGGTTTTCAAGGAGCTCCATGAGTGCAAGAGGGGTACAAGGACAAGGGAGCCCAGATGATCTGTGAGGTCCAGACATTACAGAGGAAGCGGGGTACAGGGAAGAGGGAGTCCAGACATTACAGAGGAAGAGCTCAAAGTCCAACGACATACCAGTACATCACTGATCCTTGTTGGGCATACATGTAATGTTCTTTTTTTTTCCATGCAGCTTATGAGCTGCATGAAAAAAAGAACCTAACAGATTCCTCCTTTCACATCATTTGATGTGGATGAAGAAATATATGCCAGAAAAAGTGTGTGGTATGCCCACTATTAGAATTTACTGCCCTGCAACCACCCACTTCTAATGTTGGACATACATATAATGTTCTTTATTTCATTCAGCCCATGATTCCGCCATTCACTGCGATCAATGTGAATGGAGAAATCTCTTCCAGAAAAAATGAAACAAATATATGCCAAAGCATAGGAGCGATCCACCCACTGACCACCCTAGGCCCCCATGCTTGGGCATATATTTTCTTTTTGAACTGCGGATGAAAAATATCATCCAGCAGCACTGCACGCTCTTCCATATATTCTGGGAGCAATACCCCTGTGACTGTCATAATAAACAGATCAGCGCTGCAACTGAATGGTGTTCCTGCAAAGCAAACAACAACTGTTGTCAATAAAACACAGTAACAAATAGAACATTAACTCAATAAAAGGACACCTTTTTTATTGAAATCTCTGCCACAAAAAATTAAAAAAAATATATGCCAAAGCATAAGGGTGATCCACCCACTGACCACCCCAGGCCCCCATGCTTGGGCATATATGTTCTTTTTTAACTGCCAATGAAAAATTTAATTCAGCAGCGCTGCAAGCACTTCAGTATATTCTGAGAGCAAGACCCCCCCCTATTGCTGTCAGAATAAACAGATTAGCAATGCTGCTGAATGATGTTCCTGCAAGCAATAAACAACGGTTAGCAATAACACACAGTAACATTAGAACATTTACTCAATAAAAGGACACCTTTTATTGAAATCTCATTAGTGTTTTGGAGTGTTATATGCAAACATGGCCAAGGGTAAAAGTGATACCCAGTCATCTTGGGAAAATGACATAAAAACAACAAATGTATTGTTCCAAGGTATGGTTGGTTCTTTCTGTTTGCCCGTTGGTCTGAGGGTGATAAGCGGAAGAGAATGAGAGTCCTATTTTCAGCTTTCCAGAATTTTTTAGTGAATTGTACGATCCGAGACAATGTGGAACACCATGGAGCCTCACCACCTCTCTTATGAAGATTTGGGCAGTCTCTGCTGCAGATGGTACTCCCTTCATGGCAATAAAATGGACCATTTTAGAAAAACGATCCACTATGACAAAAATGGCCGAACATCCCTCTGATGGTGGCAGTTCTACAATGAAATCCATTGAGATCATTTTCCAAGGTCAATCAGGCACTGGTAGGGGCCTCCGTAATCCCCAGGTCTTGCTTCTGTTTCCCTTGTTATGTATACATGTGGGGCAGGAATTTTATATATGCCTTGCACTAGGTCTAAAGTCTTGTGGACCCCAAAATGTCCTGCAAGGGGATGGTCATGACATAGCCTCAAAATTACCAATCGGATACTTTCTGGTGTAAAGATCTTGTCTCCTGACCATAGTAAACCTTCTCCAGTGGCTAGAGTTACTCCTGGTGGGGAAGGAGCCCCTAAAGATGCCTGCTGGATTTGTAAAAAAAGGTCTGTTTGTAAAAGACAGAAGTTGCCTGCTGAGAGCACCGTATCAGGGGTAGGAGGATCCTTAGGTTCATTGGACATCCTAGACAGGGCATTGGGTTGATATTCTTAGAGCCTGGTCTGTAGGTAATGTGAAATATAAACCTGGCGAAAAAAAGTGCCCACCTGGCTTGTCGAGGGTTTTAGAAGTCTCGCAGTCTTCAGGTACTCAGATTCTTGTGATCGGTATAGATCAAAATGGGGTGTGCTGCTCCCTCTAAAAGGTACCTCCATTCCTCCAAGGCTGACATGATGGCAAGTAATTCTTCGATCCCCTACATCATAATTTCTCTCCGCAGGGGATAGCTTACGGGAAAAAAAAGGCAACTGGATGAAGTAAGAGTTTCAGGCCTTGCCGCTGTGATAGGACGGCCCCAACAGCATTCTCTGAGGCATCTACCTCTACCACAAAGGGTAGTGCTGGATCTGGATGGTTTAGTATGGGTGCTGAAGTAAATAGTCCTTTTAATGAGTCAAAAGCGCTTTGAGCTTCTCTGGTGTCCAACAGAATCAGACCCCTTGTTTGGTCAGTTGGTTGATAGGAGCGATGATAGATGAGAATCCTTTGATAAATCTCCTATAAAAGTTTGCGAAACCTATGAAACGTTGTATTCCTTTTTTCAGATGGTGCAGGCCATTCCAGGATGGCAGAGACTTTCTGGGGATCCATCCTAAAGCCTTCAGTGGATATAATTAATCCTAGGAATTGAATGCTCTGGCGTTCAAACTCGCATTTTTCAGGCTTTGCATATAGTCTGTGTAGTCTGAGGCGACCGAGGACCTTCTGCACATGTCCTCGGTGAAGTTCAATAGATGTGGAAAAAATCAGAATGTCATCAGGTAGACTATCACAAAAAAATTATCTAAGAAGTCTCTGAAAATGTCATTTACCAGGTGCTGAAAGGTTGCAGGGGCATTACATAGTTCAAAGGGCATGACTAGGTACTCGAACTGCCCAAATCTGGTACAGAAGGCTGTCTTCCACTCATCTCCCTCCCGGATTCATACGAGATTGTATGCCCCTCTTAAGTCCAACTTGGTAAATACGGTTGCGGACCTGAGTCTTTGGAATAGTTCTGGGACTAATGGCAGGGGATATCTGTTTTTAACCGTAATATTGTTCAACTTGCTGTAGTCTACACATGGACGGAGGGAATGATCTTTTTTTTCTACAAAGAAGATACCTGCTCTTGCTGGGAGGTGGAGGGGCGGATGAACCCCTTGTTTAGATTATCATCAATGTAGTCTTTCAGTGCCTCCAACTCACGCTCTGACAGTGGGAAGATCCGACTGAAGGGAATCTCGGCCCCGGGTAGCAGTTAAATTGGGCAGTCGTAGGGTCTGTGGGGTGGAAGGGTGTCTGCACCACGTTTACTAAAAACATCCAGAAAGTCATGGTAGGCTGCAGGAACGATTTGGCATACCTCAGCATCAATGTCCATACACAGTAGGGGCACAGGTTGAGCAGGAAGTTGAGGTAAGCAATGCTTGTGGCAGTAGGCCGATTTAAAGTCCACTTCACCAGATACCCAATTCGCGCTGGGGTTGTGGGCCTGTAACCATGGGATTCCCAAGATAACTGGAAACAGTGGTGATGCAATAACATCCAGGCATAGTAGTTCCTTGTGGCCAGATGGAGGTATTACAATGGGTAGCGGAATGGTCTCCTGGGTGACTGCCCCAGATTTAATGTTGGATCTGTCAGCCAAGTATACTGTCAGTCTCTGCGTTTTGGCTTTTAAGGGTATCTGATGTTGCAGGGTGAAAGTTGAGTCGATAAAGCAGCTGCAGACCCCGGAATCAATGATAGCGGACACTGGCAGGGGTCTTCCCGGAAGCTGGAATGAGACAGAAATGGCATTGTGAGCAGGGTTGATGGTTGCAGGTGGTAGTTTAGCAGGCAGGGTAGTCAGAGACTTACATAGCTTTGCGGGACAATTTCATACATAATGGCTGGGTTCTCCGTAATAGAGGCACAGGTTACCCTTTCGGCGTTGGCGTTCTTCCGGAGTAAGTGAGGTTCGTAGCAACCCTATTTGCATTGGTTCGGATTCTTCAACACTGGGTGTGGTAGGACTAGTGGTACCATGTTTGCTGGAGATGGTGCCCTGGGTAGCATCCACATAGGGCGGACTTGGTTGGCAGACCTTTCCAGTCTTCGTTCCCTAAGCCGGCGGTCAATCTGGATAGCAAGATTAATGAGCTCTTCCAGCGTGTTTGGTACCCCTACACAGGGCTAGCTCATCTTTAAGGGGTTCAGCAAGGCCTAAACAGAACTGATAGCGTAGGGCAGCATCGTTCCAATTGGTATCGGCGCTCCAGCGCCTAAACTCCGTCACATAGTCCTCAGCTGCCCTGACCCTGCTGAATGGGAATGGATGGAGAGCTGCTTCTGCTGATGCAGATTGCTGGGGATCATCATAGAGCTGAGCCATAGCCTCGAAGAAGCGATTTAAGGAAACTAACTTGACGTCTTCCTTTTCCAGCAGATGGTGAGCCCATGCTTGTGGTTCTGCCCTGGAGGAGTGATATCACGAACCCCACCTTGGTTGCCTCTAATGAAAAGGTGCGAGGTTGTAATGCAAAATACAGTTCACATGCGTTGGGTAATGCCCTGAATTTGTTGCGATCACCAGAAAACCTTTCGGGTGTGGGGACCCTTGGCTCCGGGGGCAGCAGCAGCACTGCAGGGTTCATCATAGCTCCTGAAGCGACAGTTGGAGCAGATGTCGCTGTGGCGCTGGCAGAAAGTGCGGGTACAGATAGGGTCTGAAAACGATTTTCAAATCGGTTTATATCCCTCTTGCAGCCCTTGACGGCTTGTGTCAGTGCCGCAATGTGCTGACAGATTTCTTCTAGAGGAGAGGCCCCTCTCTCAGGCTCCGACAAGGCCTTCTGGTACTATCACGTACCTGGTTGGGGAGCCTGACGTGGAGAGGGGGCATCCTTCTTACTACTACCGCTCGGAGCCCCTGATAGTGGGGACAGAGGGCACTGAGCCAGGAGTGGCACAAGTGACTGATGGGTCTTGAGATGACTGTAGGCAGGTGGTGACCCGGAAGACCCAGATGCAGGCCAGGTGCAGATGCAGGAGCATAGGTGCAGCAGCAGGTAGGTATGGCGGCAACCAGGATACAGGCCAGGTGCAGATGCAGGAACGTAGGTACAGCAGCAAGTAGGTAGGATACAGGCCAGGTGCAGATGCAGGAACGCAGGTGCAGCAGCAGGTAGGTATGGCATTAACCAGAATACAGGCCAGGTGCGGATGCAGGAACATAGGTGCAGCAGCAGGTAGGTATGGCGGTAACCAGGATATAGGCCAGGTGCGGATGCAGGAACGTAGGTGCAGCAGCAGGTAGATATGGTGGTAACCAGGATACAGGACAGGTGCAGATACACGAACGTAGGTGCAGCAGTGTCAGACAAGCCGGTTCAGGATCAGTCAGGCAGATCAAGTACAAGGGAGCAGGCAAGCGAATAGTCAGGGATAAGCTAAGCTGGGTCAGTGCAGGCGGAGTTCTTTCTTAGTCAGGGTCAGATCAGAAAGAGGCAACAGAATCAGGTTATGAATTACAGGACGCTGTAGACCAGAAGGCATAGGCTAAAGTGTGTTGGTGATTTAAATAGCCCGCCTTGCGATGACGTGCATGCCGGTGCGCATGCACATAACCGCACGCTCCCGTGCATGCACACCGCCACGACTGACAGGGATCCGGCACCAGCATAGATGTGCGTTGGCGAGGGGACGATCCTTGACAGGTGGTCGTCAAGTGGATAACAAACATATTACACTTACTTTCTCTGTGCAATAGTATTGCACAAAGTAGCCCTGAACCTCCACTTCTGGGGTCACTCACCAGCGATCTTTGCTCCTCCACCAGATTTTAGGGACCAGCATGGCGGTTGCCATCAGGTAGATGGGATGGAGATCAGCGAAAGTCTGGTTATCTCCCTTTCCTGTTAATTAAAATAACAAACATGGTATACTTACCTTCTCTGTGCTATGGTTTTGTACAGAGTGGCCGTGAATCTTTTCTTCTGGGGTCCCCCGCTGGCATCAAAATATAATTTCCAGATTCTGGTGTCCTTGGCTGGGAAATAAACTAATAGAATGAGATCTGATATTTACAGTAATACATTTACATTTTATGGATGTATACCTTACATTTAAACTTTTTTTTATTTTTCAAAGCATCAAGAACTACAACTACTACAAACAGGGGTGTGGAAATGTTTTTTTTAAAAACTATTGTCCAAAGGACTAAATCAGGGTCCCAATCTACTTGTCTCTCATGACAATCTACTTGTCCTGAAAAAAAAAAAAAAATTCCCCAGGATGGAAAATATGAAAGATTTTTGTTTCTTATTAGGCAGAGGTGCTTTTAGGAATGTCTGGGGCATTTAAAAATGAAAGGGGCTGTATGGCAACTTAAACTTTGTTTTTTAGTTTTTGCTAGAAATTTTCCTAGAACCCCCAAAAGTTATATATTTTTTTAAACATCCCTTGTGACAGCAATAGGCAGTGATAGGTACTTTTTATGGAGAGATCTGGGGTCAATAAGACCTCAGATCCCTCCTCTGTGTGATCGGTGTGATCAAATGCTGTCCATTTTTTTAAAAAAAAGGAGAGCTGGACAGGGCCGTAGAAGGTCCTTAACCCATCAACAGGACCAGTATCTGCTCCTTTGTGCCAGGAGGAACAGGATGAGCACTGCCAGAGCCCTATAAAATTACCTCTAGCAGGCCACTGTTTGGTCAGAGACATTCACACCAATCAGAAACAGTGTCACGTACCTGATGGGAGACTGAATTGATGAGGTCAACCTCACTTGTGTCACTAGCCCTGACCCCGCTGAGGTTGGAACAGAGGGAGTCTAGGGACCAGGGGGACAAGAGCGCCAGTGGTTGTTGCTTGCGGCTCTTGCAGATGATGACCTTGGTAGGCAGAGTATCCTCTGATTTGGGCACCATAGAAATAGACCAGGCAGGTTCAGTGGATTGCCAGATGTGCAGCAGAGCAAGGTAGGTAGCAAGGGCACAGGACTGGAGCAGAGTCATAGGATAGCGGGGTCATAAACAGTCGGGCAGCACGGTACAGAATCCGAAGGAAAAGCCAAAATCAGGAGCAGAGCCGAAGTCAGGAACCAGGAGCAGGAGAGTAATCGGAGTCGGGGGGGAGGAACAAGCCGGGTTAGCAACAAAGGAATCGTACAGGAACAAGCAGGACAAAGGGGGAGCTGAAGACCAGTCAGCACTGAATCTGAGCAGAGGCACTCCTTAAATGGCCCGTCTGGCACCAATCTTCACCCTGTGCGTGTGCACGTGTGCGTGTATGTGCGCGATCGTGCATTCCTGCGCGCCTGCGCACAACCGGCAATTCTGCGTGATCTTCTTTGCGCATGCGCGTTCCCAATCGTGATTCTTCTTGCTGGAAATCCCTCACAAATAGACTTCATGAGAGTGGCCTGAGGGCCCAACTTTCTCTAGTGGGCCCTATGCTTACTGCCCGGCACCATAGAGCTTGATTGGCATTTGCCATTGAACACCAGAATTTGTAGGTCTGCCACTGGCGCCCTGTGCTTTTCACAGATCAGGTTCACCCTGAGAACATGTGACAGACATGAAAGGGTATGGAGAAGCCATGGAGAATGTTTTGCTGCCTGTAACATCGTTCAGCATGACCGTTTTGGTGGTGGGTCAGTGATGGTCTGGGGATGCATATCCATGGAGGGACGCATAGACCTCTACAGGCTAGACAATGGCACCCCGATTGCCAGTAGGTATCGCTGTGGGTCCTGGGTTCCTCCTGGTGCACGACAATGACCGGTCTCCTGTGGTGAGAGTATGCAGGCAGTTCCTAGAGGATGAAGGAATTGATACCATTGAATGGCTCCCACGCTCGCCTTACTAAATCCAATAGACCACCTCTGGGATATCATGTTTCTGTCTATCCGACACCGCAAGGTTGCATCTCAGACTGTCCAGGAGCTCAGTGATGCCCTGGTCCAGATCCATGGAGGAAATACCCCAGGACACCATCAGTCGTCTCATTAGGAGCATGCCCCGACGTTGTCAGGCATGCATACAAGCACGTGGGGGCCATACAAACTACTGAGGACCATTTTGAGTTGCTGCACAGAAATTTCTGCAAAATGGACTAGCCTGCTGCATCATTTTTTCACTTTGATTTTCGGGGTGTCTTTGAATTCAGTCCTCTGTAGGTGGATAATTTTCATTTCCATCAAACGATGGGGCATCCTAACACATTACCCAGTCCATATCAGTATAGATATCCAGCGTGAGATTTTTCCCCATTGAGATCTGATGTGTTTTCAAAGTGTTCATTTAGTTTTTTTGAGCAGTGTATTACATTTTTGGTTTTGGGTTTAATTACCACTTAAAGTTGTAGTAAAGTCTGTATATTTAACTTGAATTTACAGGTAAGCCTAAAATAAGGCTTACCTGTAGGTACTGTAAATATCTACTAAATGTGCACCGTTTAGGAGACATTTACTTGTAAAGCAGCACCGGCGCATGTGCCCTGAAGTAACGGCATGCCCGTACCATTTCTTCAGAGCTGTGTGCCACAAAAAGTGACTACAGCGTACATGCGCAAGAGTGACTTCATCGCGGTTCGAGCCCACAAACCCAGAAGAAGGACCTGGTGACGATGGAAGCCCTGTTAGCAATGCATACTAGCACATGATGACATTGTCTTGCATGAGAAACCTTTTTTTTTTGTTTTTTTTTTACTGTTTACTACCGCTTTAAGTCAGAGTCTTATGTGGTTTTATTGTGTAGGTGTCCCTGCAGCACTGAACGATTTTTAGTGATTTAAAACATATAAATAAGCGAGCGCCTTCCAAAACAACAGCAGCTGTACACCAAAGGCACCATATAAGACCTCCCAACAAACAGTATATAAAAAAGGTGCAGCGCTAATATACAAGTAGATGAAAATACGTATTACATATGCAAACTCATATAAAAGTTCAAAGTGACATAGTGCATACAGGTATAAGCCACTACGTTGTGTCTGGTAGAACGTGAGGAAAGGATTATTAAATCCAAGAGAAAGTTCAATGTGAGGATGTGAATAAATTCTCAAACACTCTGATGCTTTCCAGGCAACACCGACTGTGTACACGGTGAAACAATGGGGGTACAAATTGCGCACTCACCAAATGCGCAACCTTTATGCGCTTTTCTCTAACATATAAGATCTCCAATCCCTCATCCAGGGTCTGGTCAGATCTGGTCAGGTCCCCTTCTTTGTCCAACACCTTGCAATCAGCCTTCTCCCTATATGAAGTTACCGCCGGGCCCCTCGTGGTGCCGGCGGTGTATGCGTCAAACAGCTGAAGCCTGACCCAGACGCGTTTCGAGCGATAGCTCTTTGTCAAAGGGTTTTCGGCTATCAGCTGCTGACGCCACTCTGTCCTTTAAATAAGGGGAATAATGCACGCATCGTTAACATGCGCCATTTTCCCAGAGAAAGATGTCCTCAAAAAAACGGGCGCCATTTTGGCGTAGTCCCTGTAACCGCGCATGCGCGAGCATAACGTCGGAACGGGGCGGACATCTATACACGATCACCGAGGGGAAAGATGTTGCCATGGAAACATGATACACTGAGTGCCAACATGAAGATCATTCTGAGCCAGTGTATCCGTCAAGCAATATATTGCATTAGCTTCTATATTCAAAAGTAAAAGGTCAAATCAACCTATACAGCAGGAGGCGGACTTTATTAACCAGGTCCTCAAATCTAACCATAATTTATCGGGCTATATCTAAATAAATGGCAACATATACCCTAGGTGATCCTCTGTATCCAATATAGCAACAAAATTCCTATAATCATAAAACCTCATGTTAACATCAATACAACAATAACACATACTGGATACACGTTGTATAATATTATGATTTGATGTTAGTCACATAACATGGGATTTTATGATGATTATATAGTTTTGATGTATCCATGAGGATTCAGTATGTGTTATTGTTGTATTGATGTTAACATGAGGTTTTATGATTATAGGAATTTTGTTGCTATATTGGATACAGAGGATCACCTAGGGTATATGTTGCCATTTATTTAGATATAGCCCGATAAATTATGGTTAGATTTGAGGACCTGGTTAATAAAGTCCGCCTCCTGCTGTATAGGTTGATTTGACCTTTTACTTTTGAATATAGAAGCTAATGCAATATATTGCTTGACGGATACACTGGCTCAGAATGATCTTCATGTTGGCACTCAGTGTATCATGTTTCCATGGCAACATCTTTCTCCTCGGTGATCGTGTATAGATGTCCACCCCGTTCTGACGTTATGCTCGCGCATGCGCGGTTACAGGGACTACGCCAAAATGGCGCCCGTTTTTGAGGACATCTTTCTCTGGGAAAATGGCGCATGTTAACGATGCGTGCATTATTCCCCTTATTTAAAGGACAGAGTGGTGTCAGCAGCTGATAGCCGAAAACCCTTTGACAAAGAGCTATCGCTCAAAACGCGTCTGGGTCAGGCTTCAGCTGTTTGACGCATACACCGCCGGCACCACGAGGGGCCCGGCG